GGGTCCACTTTTCCTCCCAGGGAAGAAGGAGCAAGGGGGGTGGAGAAAGAAAGGTCAACCCACCGTGCCTAGATGCTCCCAAGCAGCCTCCTTGGTTTCCTTCCCTTCACTTCCTCCTGCTCCCAAGTCATCCTCGGAGACACTAAAGACGGCAGAGCACCAGGCGTACACCAGGCGCTGATCTTCAAAGTTCTATTTGCAAGGATGTACGAAGCCGTCAGAATCTGTTGAATGCATACCGAGTGGTTCTCCGACGCCTGAAAACCATCCATCAACTGCAGGAACTGAGTCCTGTTGCGTTCACTTTACCTCTATGTCGAAGAAGAACCCAAATGCTGCACATGCTCGCTTCCCCGTAGTGACCTTGCAGCAGATAAGAATTGAGAGGATGACTGCATAGAGGTACCATTCTATGCAGATGATCCGGTGCAACTTTCTCGCTGATTCAACACACGATCATTCCTGTGGGCCCACCCTTCTCAGATCCTACCTTGATTCCGAATCGTCGTCCTGAGAGAAAGAGGCGGACATCTGTTTCGCAGGTTCAGTAGCGATCTCTATGATGCAACAAACAAGAACTTTGTGTCCGGAGGTCTCTGTTGATGATTCCTAGGAAATTTTCAAGTCAGTCCGTTGAGGTTCTCTTTGATCCAACAGACACCTCAGACCCTCCCCGGTCATCGTCGTCTTGAGTTTCCTGCACACGTGAAGTTCAGAACTCATGCCAAATGCAACCTGACTCAGTTCACCTTGGACTCTGGTTCTAGCATCGAGAGAAGCAAGCAGGAATGTCAAAACACAACAAGAATCATCATGAAACATTCATCAACACCTGACAGTCTCAAGGATTGAAGTTGGTCCCACGACTGGAACTGCAAATCATCCAATGCTGAAGCCTTTACTCGACCTTTGGAATCCGCTTCCTCTGCCTGTTTTTCTGCCGTTCGCAAATCACCTTTTTTCATCTGACTTCCCATTGTCTTTGGGGCCGTAGACCTGCCTCGTTGCTCTGCTTCGTCTGTCTTGATCTCCACAGCAGTAGCTGATGGAGGATTCAAAGGCTTAACTGGCGGGGCTTCGCCCGACTTCTCCCCTTTCCTCACTGCGGCAGCCGGCGTTGTCCCTACAGATGCGGACGAGTCTGATACCTCGCTGCTACTCTCGGACAGACTGCTGCTGCTGCTCGGCTCGGCTCCCATGCTTGGCTCTGCCCGTCTGCTTGGCTGAGAATCGGCCACAGGCGGCTTTCCTAGTGTCGCTTCCTTCCCCTGCTCCTGTGTCTTCTCCTCCGCCTCCTCCTTGGTCTTCTCCGGCAGCTCCCTCAAGCCGGGAGCTTCAACCTCCTTCCTTAGCGCTTGCGCACTCTGGATCCCTGCACCCCCTAGGTCCGTGACCTGAGAAGCCGGTGGGACGTTCTTGCCATGGGCTGCCCCTGCGGATGCGGACGAGTCTGATACCTCGCTGCTACTCTCGGACAGACTGCTGCTGCTGCTCGGCTCGGCTCCCATGCTTGGCTCTGCCCGTCTGCTTGGCTGAGAATCGGCCACAGGCGGCTTTCCTAGTGTCGCTTCCTTCCCCTGCTCCTGTGTCTTCTCCTCCGCCTCCTCCTTGGTCTTCTCCGGCAGCTCCCTCAAGCCGGGAGCTTCAACCTCCTTCCTTAGCGCTTGCGCACTCTGGATCCCTGCACCCCCTAGGTCCGTGACCTGAGAAGCCGGTGGGGCGTTCTTGCCATGGGCTGCCCCTGCGGATGCGGACGAGTCTGATACCTCGCTGCTACTCTCGGACAGACTGCTGCTGCTGCTCGGCTCGGCTCCCATGCTTGGCTCTGCCCGTCTGCTTGGCTGAGAATCGGGCACAGGCGGCTGTCCTAGTGTCGCTTCCTTCCCCTGCTCCTGTGTCTTCTCCTCCGCCTCCTCCTTGGTCTTCTCCGGCAGCTCCCTCAAGCCGGGAGCTTCAACCTCCTTCCTTAGTGCTTGCGCACTCTGGATCCCTGCACCCCCTAGGTCCGTGACCTGAGAAGCCGGTGGGGCGTTCTTGCCATGGGCTGCCCCTGCGGATGCGGACGAGTCTGATACCTCGCTGCTACTCTCGGACAGACTGCTGCTGCTGCTCGGCTCGGCTCCCATGCTTGGCTCTGCCCGTCTGCTTGGCTGAGAATCGGGCACAGGCGGCTGTCCTAGTGTCGCTTCCTTCCCCTGCTCCTGTGTCTTCTCCTCCGCCTCCTCCTTGGTCTTCTCCGGCAGCTCCCTCAAGCCGGGAGCTTCAACCTCCTTCCTTAGCGCTTGCGCACTCTGGATCCCTGCACCCCCTAGGTCCGTGACCTGAGAAGCCGGTGGGGCGTTCTTGCCATGGGCTGCCCCTGCGGATGCGGACGAGTCTGATACCTCGCTGCTACTCTCGGACAGACTGCTGCTGCTGCTCGGCTCGGCTCCCATGCTTGGCTCTGCCCGTCTGCTTGGCTGGGGTGGCCTTATCAGCGAGGGATCGGGTACAGGCGGCTTTCCTAGCGTCGCCTCCTTGGTCTTCTCCGGCAGCTCCCTCAAGCCGGGAGCTTCAACCTCCCTCCCCAGTAATTCCTGCTGAGTTTTGGAGGATGTATAGGCAGCAGATGCTGAAGCCATCCCTACTCTTTCCCCCACGTTCCTTCTACCGCCTGCTTCGATGTGGTCCTCCAGGGCTGAGGTTGGTTGGTTTTCATCACTTCTCTCATAGGCGCTGCTAGGCATCCCTTGTCGCCCTTGCGAGCCCTCCTGTTCTGCTACATTTGAACCACTCATTCCTCGCAAAGGCGGCTTGCTGCTCGCACCCCTTCCACGGCCTCTTCCACCTCGTTTCTGCCCTCCACCGCCGCGTTTCTGGCCTCTTCCGCCCCTAAGAGCCATGGCATCGGGTGAAGGCGAGGACAACTTGGGCTTCTTGTGCTTCTTAGGTTCTCCATCCTCGAGGAGAGAATTAGTCCTCGCCCGTTTCTCTTCTTTGGCCTGCTCAATCGTCATTGTCGCCTTTCCCTCTCCACCTTCCACGGCAAGACTGCTCTGATTTTGAGCAAGTTCAAGACTCTCAAAGAACTTCACAGGGTCCACCACGGGCATATCTGAGTGGTTGCGACCTCCTCGGATCCATTCAAGAGCTTTCTCTTCCATGTGGATCTGCAAGAGGGCATGCTTATTGATTGCCTTGGGGTCTGGTCTCACTGAGGCCCGCAGGTTGGTGTTTTCGATGTTCCTCTTCTTCCTCTGCCGTTCTTTCTTGACGGCTGCCTTGACCTTCTTGCGAATCCATGCCCTCCCTGCTCCTGCCAGTCGAAGGACAGGGGCATGCTGCTCGGTACCACCGCTACCGAAGCGAGGGTGGCCATCTGACCATGTGATCCCTCCAGAACTGCGTGGGCAGACACGACTTTCCCGTGCAACGAGCAGAGTAGCTGCCTGCAGAGCCAGGTACACTACGAGTTTGCTGCTCAGATGCATATCAAGGGTGCTCCCTTTGAGCTGTAACTACGGGGAAATAGAGCAGCAAAGATCAGCGTTCAAAGCAAGTAGGAATACAGTTCCTGCAAGCCCTGCATTCGTCTACCGTCAATCTCTCCTCCACTGTATCCTCTTGGCCGATCTCTCCCCTCTCATCATCTCCTGCTCGCCCTCGATCTTCGGCCCCCCCTCCTTCCTCCTCCCCATCTTGCCGTGTGCGAGATGCTCCTCCTGCATGAATCCGGCCCGAAGTGGGGTTCCTGCAGGGGTACGACCAGAATCATTTGGGTAGGGGTACTGATTGGTACCCCATGGACCCTCACTTTTCCAATAGATTCAGGTTGAAAGTACCCCTAAGCATTAATGAAGCATTCGGTGCGTTGAGAAGGACAAGTTGAAGGAGGGTAGGGGTGGGTGAGTGAGGACGGGGGTCGGATCATGCAGCACGGAAGAGAGAGGGGAACAGGTGCATGGCAGCGGCAGGGTACGAAGAGAGAGGAGGAGCATGGCGAGCTCACACGATCATATCCATCATGAGATGAACCTCCACAGATGGCTTCTAGCTACCAGAGCTCCTCCTTCAACATCCGCGCGCTCAGTTCTTCCAGGATCCTATGACACCCGCAGGGCGAAACTGATCGATCCAGGTGCAGCAGGGATTGAAGGGGCAGTGTTTGGAGCATGAGATTGGAGTGATATCACCCTGCATCCCTTCTTTGATGAGACAGCTGGCTCGATGAAGTGGATCGTTTGTTCCTTGATAGCGCTGGCCTGTGCGGTTCCATGCAGTCTGACTGGAACAAGTTTCGAGGGGCAGGCCCAGAGCGCGGCAAGGGGGAGCGTCTTGAACAGAACTCTCCGACAGAGATGCTGGGAGCAAGTCGCTAGATCGAGGGAGAAGGCTGGGAGCCCTCTCAAGCTGCGCGGGGGTTCATGGCAGGGTGGCGAAAACCGCCTGCAAGTCCTTGATTTCCCTTCCAGAAGTTTCCAGCGCAAGTGTTACCATGCTGCCATAGGCGAGTTTTATGCTCGCTGGGATCCATTTCTAGAGCACGTCAGCTCGTCTGAAGCGAAATGCAAGGAGGGAATGCATGTTCTGCTCCTACCAAAGGAGGAGGAGGTTGTAACTGAAGCGTCGCTGTGGCGATTTGTGCATGTGATGGTTCTTTCTCCCAGGAGCATTTGAGCTTCGAGACGAGGATTGTGGGAAAACTTGTAAAGAATGAAGGTAATGATGAGCGATCAGGGCTCTGTGTGAACGCGGCGTTCAGATGGCAGCGGCTTTAAAGTGTGTTTCCACAATTTCGACGGTCAAGACTACGGTGAGCCACGATGACTTGAGCTCACTTCTTACATGACTTTGAGTAGTTTCATCCTTGCAAACATTTCTCGGCAAGAATGAGGCCGAGCTGAAATCGCAAAATGCAGCAACCAGCGATTTCAGCGAGTTGTCAGGTACGACAGGATTCAGAATGTCCTGTCGGTTCTCACAACAATTTTAGAAGGAAACTTCGTTTTCTTTGAGGGAGATGCGATTTCGTTTTGTATCCTTGCAGATATCTTTCGGCTGTTCAGAGTCGAGCTAAAGACTTCGCTCCTCCTTTGCCAGACAGCTCTGAAGATTGATAGCATGAATGTCGACGCTCTTGCAATGTGCGGCTTCATCGAGCATCGATACAACAGCAACGTTGTGAAAGCCAAGGAATATTATGAGAAGGCACTGGAGAAGTCTCCAGACAATGTTGACGTGCTCGCAAAGTATGGAATTTTGCTACTTGATGAAAACCTACGATGGTAAAGAAACTTTGCCACGCCTCTGTGACTAAACGCCTTGCACAGCTATGGGAAAGCAGAACAAGCGATAGAAAAGGCATTAGCGATCGCACCGAACCATACGTCTGCTCTTTGTGGCAGAGCAATCTTTGTACAAGAGACTTGCAACCAGTATGATGCTGCTGAGAAGATCTATCTGGTAAGAACTTCTTTTATCAAGGTACTGCTACGTTGACAATGAGACAATCAGGAAGCTTTGAGTAGAGACAAGTACCATGCTGATGCACTGTGCTTTTACGCCACGTTTGTTGGCAAGGTTTTCGTTCTGATCATCGCGTCAAGCTTCTTTTGACTCTTTTTCGCTTCTCAGTTTCGAAAGCAATACACCGTTGCCGAGGATCTGTATAAGATCTCTCTGGAAAAAGATCCAATCAACTTGCATGCCATGTGCAATTATGGCTTGCTGTTTCAGGAATTCCTCTTGTAACCTTCACACGCACGTCTTTTGATCGATTTCTCGTCCAGGCTGTGTTCAAGAAGTTTGATGAGGCAGAGATGTTGTACAGGAGAGTTTTGAACATCAGCGAGATGTTTTCTCCTGCCTGGAGTTTCTTGGGCTTGTTGAAGCATTCTGTCCACCAAGACTACGCAGAGGCCGAGCACTGCTACAGTATGGCGTTGAAGTACAATGCCAACTTCTCGTCTGCCCTTTGCAACTACGGCATGCGCCTAGCTTGCCGATGGATGGGTCCTGACACAGTTGTGCAGGCCATCTCCTCCTCTCTGTCAAGGGCGACCACAACAGGGCTGAGGATTTGTACAGAAGAGCGTACGAGGTTGACCCCAAGGACGCGATCAATCTATGCAACTACGCCCATCTTGTTGAGGTTTTCAGAAAGGATTACGAAAGAGCCGAGAATCTTTACAAGGAAGCCCTGTGCGCTGATCCGTGCAACGTTGCAGTGCTCTGTAACTACGGGCACCTGCTTGCGCGATCTTCACAGGACCTGGAGAGAGCAGAAGAGATGCTCAAGGTCAGTTGTAATGTATTCAACAGGGAGACTGAAGTAGTATATGCGCAGAAAGCCGTCAGGTTGGATCCCAGCTACGAAGACGCTGTTTTTGGGCTGTCGATCATCCGATCGAAGATGAACGCGCGACCAAGTAAAGCCCCGACCAGCCCTTCAAGGAATCCTCTTCACGAGAAGATGTACCAAGAGCTGCAGAGGCGTCGAGACGTCCGATCACTGCAGGCAGACAAGAAGGTCTTTTCAACATTTTCGTGCGCTGCAACTGACAAGGCAGATAGAAGGAGGACGAGGAGCAGATGCAACGTGCGGATCGTATGGCAGAGATGCTGCTGAAAGAGGAGGAGGCAGATCTTGAAGCAAAGAGAGGGCAGGGGGATCCGCGTGAGGGAAGCAGGAGGGGGAAGAGAAGGTTTTGAAGCGTTTGTGGCCCAAGAGCCCATCACTCCCATCAATTCACGCTTTGCATTTTATTCTACACATCTCAAACGTTAGTGTCTACTAGATATGAAAACAACAAGTCATGAGAGGCAAGCACAAGCTGTACAGTAAGTTGAGTTACACGTCGTGGGCTCGAGCTAGGCGCATCATCATCTGGGTGCATTCTTGGCCGCCATCCTCAACTTGCCAGCAGCCTGTACCACTGCCGGGTCGAAGATGTTCTGCAAGGGAGAAGGCGACTCTGAGACCCCCCCATAGATCCGCAGGTGAGGAGCTGTATCCTGGTGGTCGGATAGAACCTTGAAGGCGCCCTGGATGGACAACTGAACGAGGAACCACTGGAAGGAAGAGTTGGCAACATTGATCGAGACGTCAGTGGGGTCACCGATGAAGAGCCTATCGAAAGTCCCCTTGCTGTCGTCAGGATCCTCGGGTAAGGACGGATCGTACTGCCTGAGCTTGATCAGCCCCTGCCCGAAGTTGGAGACGGAAATGAAATAAGGGGTCACTCCATGATCTCCAATGCCGAAGCTGATTCCGACGTGCTTGTACGGAAACTCTGCAACCCACTGGAAGAAGCGGAGGAGCCACTCGCCGTACTTGCAGTCCGCAGGGATCTCTTGAGAGCTTCCCGGGATTTTCGACTCAGTGTAGGCCTTGGAAACTTCCTCGAGGTTGAAGTAGAAGATGAGGAGAAGAATGGCAGAGTGCGAGCTCAGCCCTCCAGTGTACGCATCGTTGAGCCCCAACTTGTACAGGAAGTACTTGAAGATGAATCCAAGTGGTTTGATGATCTCGTACCTCGCAAGCTCCTTCCTCACAAAGTCCCTGAAAGCCACGGGTGATCGCATCCTCGAACATCCGTGGAACGTGATGTCAACCGAGATGTTGTGCGGCGAGTACCCTCGCGCATGGCCGCCATCTTGTAAGCTATCAGACATGTCGGAGTCCTCGTGGCCCTCCCCTGCGGACCCTGCTCGTCCCTCGTTCAAGGAGATCTTGGACACGTCGGCCGACAATTTGATCACTGGGACTGAAGTGTTCTCGATAGACCTCATGTACCTACACCATGGCATGGATTTCAAACGTGAAGCCAGGTGCTTCATCTTCGATTCGATCGACCATTCTTTTGCTCCAATGACGAGCACGTCCACATCACTGTGAGGTAGGTAGAGATCAGTCGAGAAGGAGCCATACACCTCCACATGCGCTCCCTCCCAGCACGATTTCACAGCTTCGTCAACGAGGTCAACGATCCTCTGACGCCGCGTCCTCGTAGAGTTGGTGGGGTACACTTGGTTCAGCAACTCAACGATCTCACTGTGCAGCCTCCTCGTGACCGACTTCCTGTCATCAGGCATCGAAGCGAAGCAGTGATGCTCCGGTCTCAAAGGGTTGTAGTGTGCGAGACGTTTCGAGCTAGCCTTATGGGTTTTGTCAGATATCTTGGAGCTTATTTCACACTGCGTCTTGCTAAAATCTTGGATGTCTGACTTTGTAGCATTCGAAAGAAGATCGCTCCCTTGTTGCGTGTCATTGCTTGCTGAGAACATGATCCCTGACGCATTTTCAGCAGCTTTTGCTGCCGAGATGTCTGACTTGAGGCTTGGAGCCATGCTTTCTGCTACTTCATCTCTTTCCTCTTCAGAAGCTACACTCACATTCTCCCTCACCTTCCCGATCGCTGTTTCCGACACTTCTTGATTCTCTACGTCGGAATCAACGGGTTCATCTGTTCCTTTGGGTGACTGAGGGCTTGTGCTGCGATCGCGACCTGGGGCATCGAGTTCTCTGCTCTTCAGCATGATCGAGGTGTCCTGTGGCTTGACTTGTTCATCCTCATCCCCATTTGGCCCATTAACATTGAGTGATTCAGCTTCCGACAGCTGCGAGGAGGAGGAGGAGGAGGAGGAGGATGAGGACATTGAATCGATGCTGCTGTCCGAAAGATCTCTCTCTTGTTCATGCACAGGCTTTCGCCTTGAAGACCTGGGAGTCTTGTAACTGTTCCGTTCAACAAAAGGCGACTGGCAGGCCGGCTGTTGAGAGAGATAGCTCTTCTTTGCCATGCTCTCGTATGCTAGCGACGCTTCATCCATCTGCTGAGCCGTCTGTCCCAGGCATTCTTCACTGCGCAGACGTACTTCATCAATCTTGTCCATGATGTTCCAATCCTTGTCAAAAGGAGCGCCAGCGCTTGAGGATTCGGCAGAGAAGATATCATTCCGAACCCCCCCCCAAATCCTTGAATGGCTTTCTCGATCTGCGTCCTTGTGCACGATTGAAACCTTGTCTCCGCGGCAAAGTCTGGACGATGATGTATCCCACAGAATGCTCTTGGTAAACTCCGTGGAAGATTTTTGGGACAGATGCAGGTCCTGGATCTCAACATCAGTTTGGAGAAGTGGGGAGCCCAACGATTACCTTCGACAGTGCCTGGGGCCTTGTGGTTTTTAGGACATCCCGGGCCATTTCAGCAAAAGTGAATTGTGTCTCCTTGTGCAAATGTCTGCGATAAAATGCCGAATACGCCAATGGGAACGAAACAAGAGCATGCATCAAGGTGTCTGCATACTTGCACCCGGAACTCAAGATATTGCCTGCAACTTTTCCACCAGGATTTGTCAAGCAGGACACATCATATAGCTCCTGATCACAATGCCAACAATCTGCTAGACAAGCAAAGTTCTCTACATGCGGCCCTCGTTTGAAACTTGAGAAGATTTCGCGTCGAATCATCTGAGTTTCATCGAAGGTCACTAACGCACGACCGCAACCAGGAAACCAAGTGAGCTCACCGATCGGCTGAGTCGTAATTTTTCTGTCGATAATACAAGGCTTAGATAGTTGGGAATAAGTGTCGCGTCTTCGTCTTCAACCGGCGACGCAACGCCCAGTGGTGTAGCAGCTGCCGAGACCTGAAGGAACACAATCACTGGCAAGCAAGTGATGGTTTCAGATCTCAACCTGAGATTGTTCCAGGCGAGGATCGAGCGCACTCCACTGCTTCGCCCACGAATTCACCTTCTCCCACCCGTTTTCCTTATCCTTCATCATGAGGCCCTGCTCTTTTGTAAGCTCGTACTTCAAGGCAACCAAAATGGGAACCTTAGCAACGACTTCAAAATTTTCTGTATCTTGCTCGACAGACCTCGTTGGTAAATCTTTCACCAAATCAGGCATACAGCTGAGATGTCAAACGGAGATCTGACCTGAAATACTTCGAGAGCACCTTCGTAACAACTCTCGAGTGAACGAAAAGTCTATGGAATTGAGCTCCGCCTTTGAGAACTGGCGGAGTCGAGCAAGAATATTCCGGACATTGGGCCCATCGGACATCGTTGAGCATCGGGCAGGTTGTGTGATGCCTTTTTTCGACATCACACTGTAGCGATCCAATATGTTCTTCATCATCAACGAAGCAACAAAGGTCAGGGGGGTGAAGTACTGAGTTCCCCTGAGCCTTGAAGATGGCCGATCGTAGCAAGTCACGAAAGGAGCCAGGTTATAGAGCATGTCAAAGATCTTTTCAGCGTCCTGGCTGAACTCCAACAACTCGAAGGGCACGAACACGTCATCGACCACGCTCAGGCGCAAGACCCTTTCCAGCTCGAATTCTAGTTCGAAGTTGGCGGTGGAAACTGAGGATGAGAAGAACTTCAGCTTCTCCAAGCTCGGCTCCATGCTCGGAGTCCAATCTCCGTAGTTTTTCACGGTTCTAACTTGCTGAATCCCATCGAAATAAAATGCGATCGATGCTTGATTGCTGGCCTGAGACAAGATGTCGTACATCCGATGAAGGACAGCAGCAGATCTTGGTTTTGTGATGTATAAAAGATTCAGACGATCATCAGCTGGCAGAGAGACAAAAAAGGCCAGAACGTTTCGGTACTCCTTCTCTGTCGAAGACATGGTCGGGAAAACAGACTGAAGCTACTTAAATATTAACCTGTAGGACGATTGTCAGAAAAGAATGACAATTCAAATTACATGTCAGGAGTATGAATCAGAGCAATACACAATAAAACAATAGCAATAGCTTATCAGCACAACAGGGAAACAGAATAACTCAGTATCACATTGAGCAACCAGACACAAGTCTTTTCAAAGGTGACAAGCACATCAAACTGCATCAACAGAGCTTATGAAAGATAAGGCATGCGTGGCACATCAGAGCACAACCATGTAGAACATTTTCTGACGTGTCTCATCTCGTACCACACGCAATCTCCTACCTTCAGCATGCGCAGCACAACCCCCGTCCGAGCTGTTGAACCATTGGCTGCCGCCCGAAATAAGAAAGGAAAAAAAGAAGTTTAACCTAAATGTTTGTTTACAAGTAATTTTACATACGGAGCCTTGTTTTTATAAATATTGTACAAAATCAAAATACATTTAAGAAATTAGTATACATATTTCTAACTTTCTTTGGTAATTTGTACCAATTTGCACTACAGTTTAAAAACAGATTTATTCACTTCCACCCCACCTCCCCCACGGTCTTCTAGCAGGCTATAATAATACCCCACCCCCCTGGTATCCTAAATTTAGGTTATGAGCCTCACTCTGCAGTTTGTCGCCGGGGACTTCGGCCATACAACACGCCGGCCCGGCACATTCCTGACCCACCCTACCCACCCCTCGTCCTGCACATGACCCCTCCTATTCCCAGTCACATGTCCCCACACGACGTGCGACCGGAGAATATGGAAATTGTACCGGTACTTGACAATGAAATACACCGGTAGTCATAATACAGCCCACCCACCCATGACATCTGACAGCTCCAAGAAGTCACCCCACCCTGTTATAAACCGCAAGAGTACCCCCATATCGAGCTGTTGAAAGAGCACGGGCACTCTACTACCCTACCCATTCTCTGTCATCGCCTCGTCCCCCTACCCCTTACCATCAATTATCCAGGGAAAACCACCCCTAGTAATTGAATTTGTATTCACTACCCATGTGAATCCGGTCGCAAGGACCCCTTCATCTCAAGACCGCCTCTTTGTTCTAGACACAAGCGCGGAAGATCTAAAAACATAGCCAGCAAAAACATGCCGACCAACGAGATGGTGAGAGTGGAGATGTTGAAGGAGGAGAGAGGACGGGGAGGGAGGAGGATGTGACTGTAAGAATATCTGCAGTGAGATATTTGCAAGAGTGAAAAGAGAGCATGCATGGCAAAAGCAAAGCCAGTACAATGAGAGTGAGGCGGTAGAAACTAGGAGGACGGGGGCTGGTGGGGCAGCTTAAAGATGAAAACATGATGATGTCGGGCGGGGATTCGATGAGATCTATACGATGAAATGGATCTAGATAGCATGAAAAAAAAGTTTGAAGACGCAGATTACATAGAGTTAGGGACAGCCAATGGGTGAAGGATATCCTTGGATGCGACTAACGGTCCCAGTGGATTCAGTGAGGATTACTGCCTGGCATGCGTGTAGAGCGAAAGTTTTTCCATCTGCTGACCTCTTTCGTGCTCTGCAGACGTTGGAGTCCGTGAAGGACTACTATGGCAAGGTGTTTTGATGGGAACATCCATGGGTGATCGCTGATTCGTCCGCAGGTGCTCCACACCAGCAAGGATCTGAAGACTTCAGCATGCACAGCGAGTGGTCGTCCCCATCCCGTTGTGGTGATGCTGCTCTTCCTGCCTGAGATAGTTGCTCCTGACTTGGATCTTTTCTTGAAGGCGAAAGTTATCCGCTCAATCCCCAAGGAGGTTGATAGCCTGTTCAGAGGAGAATGGCTAGTGGTGAAAGCATTGTTAGGTCCGTGAAAAGTTCTATGGATGCGGAGCTCCTCTTCCTCTGGGCATCGAAGGTACATGCAGTATGACAGAAGCGACCCGTCTGAGTTGAGCTCGTGCCATTTCAAGGGCGATCTGTTCTTGACCTAGGGAGCGGCTCAGGAAGGGATTGTTATGCTGCAGCTGCTCTCGTCGGACCGACTGGCTCTGTTGTTGGTAAGTTGCGATAGTCTACAAGAAGCTGGGGGTTGCTGAAGTTCTGTGATGCAGGAATCGACATGACAGCGGAGCAGCTCTCGGTGGCTAGGGCCCATGCGGAGCAGTACTGCAAGTCACTCGGGTACAGTGATAAACTTTTGCCAGTTGTGTTTTGGCTGCCGCCTGGAAACAAGACTTGCACTCTGATGCCAGTTGCACTGTGCAGGTATGATCGTTGCAACCTCAACTTCGTGGAAGGATACATCGAACGTCTAGAAGAAGCTGGCATCCAGGCCAACACTTTTGATGTATTCAATGTTAACTCCGCGTGCCATCAGCACTGAACGTTGTTGCGCAGCTTGTGATCAGCAACTGTGTAGTCAACCTATCCCCTGACAAGCCTCGAGTGCTGAGGTGATGCCATGATACCTGGTTTGCTCTTTGACTGACCGTGTCTGCGGTTTCTTCAGGGAAGTGTACCGCGTCCTGAAACCGGGAGGCGAGTTTTATTTCTCCGACGTCTACTGTGATCGTAGACTTCCAAAGAACGTCCAAGAGCATGAAGTCCTGTATGTCCCACAGCGAATGTGGAAACTCCCAGCTGACTGGCATGTAGCTGGGGCGAGTGCATCGCAGGCGCCCTCTACACCAATGATTTCATTCGATACGCCAGAGCGGCTGGATTTGGCGACCCCAGAATTCTCTCGTCTGTGAGTGGCGGTACATGCTTTTACAGACGCATGCTAATCTTGGTTTCAAGGCTCCTATCGAAGTTCATGACCCCGAGCTGAAGGCCATCTTGGGTGAAGCGAAGTTCTTCTCAATCACCTACCGCCTCTTCAAGCTTCCTGAGGGGATGCTTGAGACACTATGTGAAGACTATGGCCAGGCGAGTGCTCAAGTGCGATCTCTGGCCTTCAAATGTTGAAGCTTCCTCCGATGCAGGCTGTGAGGTACAAGGGAACTATCAAAGGAATGGAGCACTCCTACATGCTCGACGATCACCACCTCTTCGAGAAGGGCAAGCTCAGCCTGGTCTGTGGGAACACTGCGGCGATGCTGGGTGAGTGAAGCCAGAGAAGCTGAGCAAGGAGGAGGTAGACTGAGATTGCCTCCACAGGAGAGAACGGAGTAAGCTGGCTCGCCCCTCACTTTGAGATTCTCGGGTAACTTATGCCCGCCTTGAAGCCCTCCGTTGCCTGATGCGTCGAGAACAGGGACAGATCAGTTCACTACGGTGAATTCCCCTGTAAGCTCAACTTCTATAAGCTCAGCAACTTTCAATCTGACCTTCTCTGCTAATAGGCGGGCCGTCCCCTGCGATCAAGCCGGCTGAAGCTGCTGCTGATGCTTCTGGTGGAGGATGCTGCAGTGGAGGAGGATGCTGCTGAGGATCCGTCTCTGGCTACCGTACTTGAGGCCGCCGGGCCAAGGCCCAACTTCCGAAGTTCGGCTGTCACAGTGAACTTGACAGTCGGAATGAACTTTCATCTCAAGTTGTACCCAACTGAGTTACTGAGGCCCGCATCCTCATGCCTTGATTCGTCCGGCGTCTCGCGGCCCGGCCAACGATCCGATCCGCAGAGCTGCCTGGCCCCGGCCCGCCGGGCCTCACTGTCCGATCCGATCGCCGCGGTCCGTACGGTACGGGCCCGCACTCTCAGGCTCTTGGAGACAAGGACCCTCATCTCCTCACTGACCACGGGTACTCTGCACGTGAAGCGCATGGCGGTGATGGCGAAAGATGGCCAGAGGAAATCCAGCGAAGGGAAGGAGGAGAAGAGGAGGGGGAGGAAGGGAGAGGAGGAGGACGAGGAGATGAGCAAGGTCGATGACGACAAGAAGAAGAGGAGGAGGGGAGATGACGAGCCGCCAGCCAAGAAATCGAAGGGAAACGATGGTGAGCAGATCAAGAAGGGCGGGAGGGGGAAAGGAGGGAAGAAGCAGGAGGAGCCGAAGGAGACCGACAAGGCTGGAAAGAAGAGAAAGAAGGCTGAGGAGCCTTCTGAGATCAACGAGACTGTCTCGGAGAACGCTGGCAACAGACCCCTGACCGACTTTGACATCTCGGACCAGACTGTAGAGAAGCTCAAGGCAGGAGGTATCACGAGCTTGTTCCCCATCCAGTCGGCCACTTTCAATCACGTCATGGAGGGCAAGGATCTGATTGCAAGAGCGAGGACAGGGACGGGTAAGACTCTCTCCTTCATCCTCCCTGTTCACGAGCAGATGCTTCGACTCAAGGAGGAGGGGGAACTGGACACGCGGAAGTACGGGAGGACGCCCTCCTGCCTCATCCTCTCTCCAACCCGCGAGCTCGCCAAGCAGATTGCCAAGGTGCTCGAGATGGTCGCAGCCGATGGCTTCTCAGTCCTCACGGTGTATGGAGGCGTTGCTTACGCTGAGCAAGGGCAGGCGCTGAGGAAAGGGGTGGACTGGGTGGTGGGCACGCCAGGGCGAGTGATCGACTTCATGGAGAGGGGGCAGCTGAAGCTGAACAATGTGCGATACTTCGTGCTGGATGAAGCAGACGAGATGCTGAACATCGGCTTCAAGGACGCGGTAGACAAGATCTTCAAGGGGGTGATGGGGGAGGAGGCGGAGAGCAAGCCCGAGCATGTGCAGACCCTGCTCTTCTCTGCTACGATCCCCGACTGGATCGCACAGACGACGGAAAAATACTTCGACAAGAACAACACGGCCCATGTCGACCTTGTGTCCGGACAGCAGGGGCAGGAGACGGCGACTAGGATCGAGCACCTGTGTATCCCCTGCCCATGGAACTCCCGCGCAAGGACGATAGGAGACATCGTGCTGTGCTATGCTGGGTCTCACGGGAAGACCATCATCTTCACGGAGACAAAGAAGGAGGCGAACGAGCTTGCGCTCGACGATGCGATCAAGCAGGACTGCGCGGTGCTGCACGGGGACATAGCGCAGGCTCAGAGGGAGACGACCTTTCAGGCGTTCAGGGACGGGAAGTTCCGCTGCCTGGTGGCGACTGACGTGGCGGCACGAGGGCTGGACATCCCTGAGGTCGACCTAGTCATCATGTGCCATCCCACCAAGGACGCAGACACGTACGTGCATCGGTCGGGGAGGACGGGGCGAGCGGGGAGGAGCGGGGTAGCGGTGACGTTCTTCACTCCGAGGGAAATGCACCAGCTGCGAGCTATCGAGTGGAGGATCAAGACGAAGATGCGGCAGATCAGCGCGCCGCAGCCAGAGGAGATCGTGAAGGCGAACGCGAGGGACATCAAGCTGTCTGTAGAGGAGGTGCACAGCGACGTCCTGCCGCTCTTCGAGAAGACGGCAGAGGAGATGATACAGGACATGGGCGCTACCAAGGCGCTCTGCGCTGCCCTTGCCGTGATCGCTGGGCAGACGAAGCCGCTCCCCGCCCGCTCGCTCCTGTCCTCCCTCGAAGGGTTCAAGACCTTTGTGATCAAGACGACTCAGCCCATGGCAGAGAGCAGGATGGTTTTTGTTCTCCTCCGCAAGGTCCTCCCTCAAGAGCTCGTCTCCAGCATCAAGGGTATCCGTCTCTTCAAGGAGCAGCCGGTCATGGGCGCAGCCTTCGACGTTCCGCAGGACAAGGTGGAGGAGTTCGAGCAGGCCGGCTCTCCCCCTGGCTGCGTCCTCGAGCCCGTCAGGAGCCTGGAGGACTTGCCGGCGCTGCAGGAGGGGAATCGCAACGGGGCGTTCGGCGGAGCAGGAGGAGGAGGGAGAGGAAGGGGAGGCGAGTCCATGTCTCCGGCGGGCAGGAGGTCTGACGGTGGAGGGAAGTCCCCTGGCAGGTACGGAGAGGAGGAGGAGAAAGGGGAGGGGGAGGGGGAGGGGGAGAAGGATGGAGAATGACCATGGTAGCAGGCCGCGGGGGAACAATGAGAACGAGAGGAAGGTGTTTGTTGGAGGCCTGTCTTTCAACATGGACGAGCCAGCGATTAGAGAGTGAGTGTCATGAAAGAAGAGAAAGGAAATGGGGATGATGATGGGGAGGAGGAGGAGAAGGAGAAGGAGGAGTAAGGGGGTTGAGGGGGGGGAGAGGAGGAGGAGGAGGAGGGGGAGGATGATAGAGATGATGATACGGAGGTGGTGGAAGAGGAGAAGGTGGAAGGGAAGTACCTGATAGTTGTGCAGGATTTTCAGTAGCAACGGATCGATCGAAAGAGTTGTGATGCTCAACGATCAAGAGACAAATACCTTCAAGGTAGACCAACTTTTTCTTCCTCACTTTCTCCTCCTCGCCCTCCTTCTTGTCTCTGCATTTCTTCTTCCTGTCTTTCTCTTCGACTGTGTAAGTCATTAAACGTTTTCCTCTTGACTTATACTCAGGGCGTCGCTTTTGTCACTTTGGGCTCTTCAGAAGAAGCGCAGAATGCATGCTCGGCGTTGAACGGGTGGGTACGGAACAAGGAAGGAAGGATTTGTAGTGACGGAGAAGTTGGTCAGTGGGATCTGAGAACAGGAAAGGTGGAAACCAGTGAGAAAAGGGAGGGAAAGAGGAGAAAGGAGAGCAGGGGTCAACCGGAGATGGCCATTAATTTGTTTGAGCAGGAAGAAGATCAACGGTAGACCTCTCCGGGTAAACATGGCGGCATTCAAGAAATAGACGACAGAGGGAGCGAGCAAAGGGTTGCTCTGGCCCTGTCTTCATTTTTCTTTTTATTCTTGTAAAAGTAAAGCAGTGTAGTGTTTCATTTCTTGATGTACGTCCTTCCTGACTTTGCGATTATCAACACAATCTCCTTGTGGTTCTCTTTCTTTGTCTTCTCCTCCTTGTTCTCCTCCGTCGTCTGCTACACCAACTTCTCCTCCTCTTCCTCCTTCGCTTGCACCAGTTCCTCCCCCCCCCGTGTTTGTTCCTCTCCCCTTCCTGTTTCCCCCACTCCTTATCTGAACAAGGACTCAACACGGCAAGTTAGAAGGATGCATCTACTCTTAACCTCGCCTCTGCCATCAACGCCCGTCTCCCTCCCCTCCCTCCCCTCCCTCCTCTCCCTCCCCTCCCTCCCCTCCCTCCCCTCCCTCCTCTCCCTCCTGCCATCGATCCATCTCGACCATAATCCGCATCAGATCGAATTGCTGCAGCCATAGTCACCCTTCCACCTGCCGCTCCTCCCTCCTCTCCCACCCCTGAAATCTCTCGGAAGTTCTCCAGCACCCTGGTCGGCCACCTCTCCCGCAGCCCCTGCTCGCAGCTCACAAGGACCTTCAAGTCAGCAAGAGGCCCAACCTCGACACGAGCCAGCACAGCAACAACGTCTTCGTGCACCCGCGAGCCGTCTGCTCTCAACTCACAACCAGAGCCCGATAGCAGGGGTTGACTTGAACCTTTCAAGAGGAAGGCGGAGTCCAGGTTGTCTGAGTTAAGCGTGGGTTTGCCCCCAGTGGCCTGGCAAGGAGAGGAAGGAGTCAAGCGGAACGAATGAAAGCGACCAGGAGGCATCTTGAAAGGCAGGCAGGAAGGAGTGAGAAACATGGTGGAGAGGAGGGGATGAAGAAAACGGAGAGAAGAGAAGGAGCAGCAGGGAGAAACAAGGTGGGCGAGAAAGACGAGGAGGGAGGAAGAGAACAAGGAAAAACTGGGAGAGGAGGACGAGGGAGAGGAAGGGAGGGAGACGAAAAGCCTCACAGCAAGCCAGCCTTCTAGAATATCTTTAGTGTCAACCCATCGCAGCTCATGGCTTGTTGTGCACACTATGGGCCAGCAGTCATCTGCAGACATTTCGATCACACCAACAACAACTCACTCTCAGTCTTGTAGTCCACGACGATGAAAGCTTCGGCTCGCAGAAACTCCAGGATTTTGGTCGTCATGTGCACCTTGTCGTACAGACACGTGAGGGAGGGAATCTCCAGTATGTTGGCGTTATGTGCGAATCAGTGCTACTACGAGGTGTTTAGACATGTACAAATAGGATCGGTCTGCCTAGTCAACTTCTGACGTGTCTATTTCTTGTAAGGTGTTCTGCCCATCAAACATCACTCACCTCGTTGTCGGGAAGTATCAAAGGACTTCTCTCTTGCACAACCTCATATTCAGGTATCTGGAACAGGTTCGGGTAGATCGCCGCCTGCCCTTTTTCCAACCCGAACTGCAAGGAAAGAGTTTTTGCTGAGTTCAAGGTGATATCTTGAATGAAAATGACGGTGATGACTGCGATGGTAGTGCTGACGACAACGATGATGACGACGATGGAGATAGACATGGAGATGGAGATGGAGATGGTGGTGGTGATGATGATAACGATCATTAAGATGGTGACGGTGATGGTGATGGTGATGGTGATGGTGATGGTGATGGTGATGGTGATGGTGATGATATTGTTACCTCTCTCAGAAGGCGACCGATCGCCTCATCCACACTTTCATTCTCCATCACTACAACATTCGTCAGCATCTCATCGCACATCGGCCCACGAGATTCTAACCCTGCACCTCCGGCAGGTAGAACATCATCCCCATGTTCCACTCTTCTCCAACGCTCTCGCGGCTCTCGAGCAAGTACTCGAACACTGCAGAGGTGAAGGACTTTCAGCACCATACTTCTGATCTGCCACGTCACCATTGTCCACCGACGGCAGCCCTGGCACCGGGGAAATGCTGCCATAGAAATCGTGTCATTCCGTTGCGCTTATCCCTGACTCTGACCTCTTGGCTCGCAGAATTGCGAGGACGCAGTTTCTTGGTCCTGGCATGAAACAGGTAGCAACTGTCAGAACCCATCCTTTCCTACTCATCCACGACATCACTTTGATTCCGCTCCTCGATATCGAGAGACTGTTTCTCCTTCTTCACCAGTTCATCCAGCTCGTCATAGCCCGTGTCCTTTGAGTTGTCGGCTTGCAAGCATCATCATCAGTCAAACTCAATCTCAAAGTCGCTCCCTGAGTTACCGCTCGAGCCTTCTTGTTGACATCTCCACAACGTTGCTCGAACCCTCCGAGTTCTGCCTCCATGCTGCAACATCCCTAGCGCCTGCCATCTGCTTGGTCGGCGCTGCACCCCCCCTGTGATGGCGCATGCCCGGGCTCTGTCTGGACATGCTCGCGGGTGCCGGAGGGCTCCAGCAAAGCACAGCTCGTCGAGGATCCTTGCGCACAAGACTGCCACGGGTGTCAGAAAGGGACCACAATGTCTTACGACACCTGCTCTGAGAGCTTCCACCATCTTTGGCAGGGAGATACAATCACGTCAGCAACACAACCTCCTCTATCCCTCCGAGTACCAGAAGAACGAGGAGAGATCGCCACGGTTGAGACCCGAGGTAGATGTTGAGCATGATCACTCCTGCGCTTCGTCAGCGTCGACACTTGTCACTTCGCTGTTAGCTCCACCAAGAGTCTGGTCAACCTCCTAGCCCCAAGAGAGCAATGGAAGATTCCTGCTCCGCAAAAAGCGTCAGGAGCTCGTGATGAGAAGGGATGGGAGGAGAAGGGTGAAGGGAAGAACCAAATCAAGAATTGAGCACAAGGAGCAGCAGCGAGGTGAGAGCCTGTGAAGGGGAACGAGTAGGAGCAGGACGATGATGTAGGAAGCAGAGGGCCAGAACAAGAGCGAAGATGGGTAGGTTGACTCTCAAGAGGTTGGCATGCGGCTGGGCATAGCAGCGCAGCAGACTGCAGAAAGGAAACAAGACCGCTGAGAGACAAGACGCATTGTGGTGTGCTGTATGAGTCAGCTTGCCGTAACAGCACCGATGGCGTCTCAGTTCGCTGATGGAATTGCCGACGTTTGTAAGAAGATCTAGTTCACATACAAAACACATGAAACAGGAAAAGTTAGCAGAAGGAAAAACTTACACAACAACGAAGAAAATCACATGGACAAAGAGAAAGGGTACGAGGTAGGAAACAACATGGTGTGGGTGTGAAAGAACTCGCATCTCAGTCTTCATGATGATCAGCCTCTTTATTTACATCTCTATATCTACATCAGTCTTACATCTCCCCCTCCCCATTCTTCTTCTCCCCCTTCCTCCTTCACTCTTGAGCCCCCCGGCCGCCCCTCAGCGACTGCCTCCTCATCGCCTCCTCGATCGACCTCAGCAGCATCCCCTCCTTCCCCGTCCCTCTGATCGCCCGGCTCCTCTGCCTCGCCTCAAGCTTGAAGCCCGTCGGATACGAGATCCCCCACGCCTCTCCTTCCTCGTCCCTCTCCGCCAACGCCGCTGCCTCCTTTCCTGTCGCGACCTTGGACGCCTGCGGGCGGCCCCTCGGGAAGAGCGCGGCCTCCCACGCCAGGGCCTCCTCGGGCTCCTGGCTGCCTTCCGTCTTGAGCTCCAGTGCGATCTCAGTCTCGAGTGCCATCCTGCGGTGCCTTGATGTGTGTGTGTGCGGCCGAGCACAAGGGGGCAGGAAATAAGTAAAGGGGCATGGGGAGGGGGACGGCCCAGCTTCTCCGTGACCATGCCGAGGTATGTAGTAAAGATATCTCATGCGACCGACCCCTTATCAGCAAGTCACGCTACACCACGGCCTTCGGTCACGTCATACCAGGGCCTTGGATACCGCGTAACAGGCAAGTGGGTCGTGAAGTGTAGGACGGCTTTGCTGCCTTGTGTTGGGTAGCTATCGCTTGAGTGAGGCGAGCTGGCTTTCGACCCCCCTCCCGAATCCAAAAACCTTGCTGCCCCGGATATCCTCCCGACACTCGTTGGCCAGGGGTGAGCATGTCCAACATCCTTGCTCTTGCGTCCGACCCCGTTCCTCCAGACGAGCTGCAAGGCGGGCTGTCGTGGCAGCATGTGCTGTTCCCTGTCGGCCGAAGCCCATCCCCGACCTCGTCGTCCAAATCAGTAGGAGATGGCGAGAGCGATTGCTCAACGGAATCTTCGTCGGAGGACACAGACGACGAAGACCAAGTGAGAGAGAGGGGCCGGGGGCTTGCTGATGGCATACAGCTCGACGTGATCGAGCCGAGATGGATATCGCTTCCGACTTGCTTCATCTTGGAACCGAGACCCCGGAGCCTAGCAATCCGTATCCAAGGACGAGAGGACATGCTGCTGCGGAGCTTACAGGAGGCAGTGTCGAGGTACGGGAGAGTGCGGGGTTGAGTAGGGCGTCATCGCGAGACGACAAGAGAGCAAGGCTTGCAGCTGACGTCAAGGAGGTGCCCCCCCCACATGTCATTTTGCTTGTCAATACAAGAGCACGAAACCTGAGACCGACTGATTTTGTTGAGTTTGTCACGACATGAGCATAGCGCGATGGTCTTTGTTTCGAGATAGGTATGAGATCCAAGCTTGTATCGCATCAGACCCTAGAGTCTATCTCAAGCTCATGCTACACGTGCCCGCCAATGCACCTCGCTCCAACGACCGTGGCATGCCAGCCAGAAAGAAGATGCTTCGAGCTCACGATGGAGGGAAGACTAGAGTCCGAGGAGGCCCAGGCGAGGGAGGCAACGATGATGCGATGTGGGAGAGGTGAAGATGCACGTGCGGATGAGGGCCTCGATGTGAGTTCTACTTGCTCATCGGCGGGGAGCGTTTGTAGGAAACGTGACTTCATCGGCACTGATTGTCACGCTACACTACCGTGCACAGCACGGGAATGATCACTTAGGGATAGCACCGTATGAATGCGGAGCGCTCGCCTCCAGAAAGCTGGATGGATTGCCTTGTTCCTGGGACACAGTTGGAGGATGGGCGAATTTATCATATCGGGAGTTCATCAGGAGGCACAGTCGCCATCAGGAAAAACAAACCATGACATGATCCACTTCTTCTGTCATCGCCTCCTCGATCGACCTCAGCAGCATCCCCTCCTTCCCCGTCCCTCTGATCGCCCGGCTCCTCTGCCTCGCCTCAAGCTTGAAGCCCGTCGGATACGAGATCCCCCACGCCTCTCCTTCCTCGTCCCTCTCCGCCAACGCCGCTGCCTCCTTTCCTGTCGCGACCTTGGACGCCTGCGGGCGGCCCCTCGGGAAGAGCGCGGCCTCCCACGCCAGGGCCTCCTCGGGCTCCTGGCTGCCTTCCGTCTTGAGCTCCAGTGCGATCTCAGTCTCGAGTGCCATCCTGCGGTGCCTTGATGTGTGTGTGTGCGGCCGAGCACAAGGGGGCAGGAAATAAGTAAAGGGGCATGGGGAGGGGGACGGCCCAGCTTCTCCGTGACCATGCCGAGGTATGTAGTAAAGATATCTCATGCGACCGACCCCTTATCAGCAAGTCACGCTACACCACGGCCTTCGGTCACGTCATACCAGGGCCTTGGATACCGCGTAACAGGCAAGTGGGTCGTGAAGTGTAGGACGGGCTTTGCTGCCTTGTGTTGGGTAGCTATCGCTTGAGTGAGGCGAGCTGGCTTTCGACCCCCCTCTCGAATCGAAAAACCTTGCTGCCCCGGATATCCTCCCGACACTCGATGGCCAGGGGTGAGGCATGATCAACATGCTTGCTCTTGCGTCCGGACCCCGTTTCCTCCAGACGAGCTGCAAAGGGGGCTGTCGATGTCGC